GGCAACAACCCAAAGTGTCGCCTCTTTCTTGATGCTGGAGAATATGATCGAGGTATGGTTGACACATTCTGGAAGGCTCATTCCAAGTTTCTTGGGTGACGAGCATGAGGATTGATGTGCGGCAGCCATCATAGGAACGTCGGCCCGGGTGGTGACTGCTACCCACCAATCGTGAACCGAGTCAAAGTTTTACCAAATCATGGGGTCGAGGCCATGACGGTCAAGAAAGTTCTTTTATCATGTTGTAAATTTTAACGGAGAAACCAACAATGAAAGAGAATATGAACCTACATTTCTGGCTCCTTCTTTCATAAATGGCAAAAACTATAAATAGGCTAACTCCTCTGAGCCACACGATCCACACTCCAAACATGATTTTGGTTGATGAGCCAAGCGAATACTTTGCACTTCGAAGTGACCAAGGCTCCCAAATGGTAGGCTCGAACATGGAGGATGTAGTACCAGTGAACTGAGCCTGGTAAGCAGATGAGGTGGAATAGCACAGTTCAACCATGAGTTCCAAATGATGGTGTCACCGTTCTCGGTCCTTGTTGTCCACAAGAATGATCACCGCTCCTTGACCCGGAGCAACAGGGCAGTGGGCTCTCTCCGACAACAACTTGGTGTGCGCAAGTTCTTTTCCGTGGAGCAAGATTTCGTTCTTGTCAGTGCCCTTGAGTGCCTTTTTGTTGGGTTCTGGCTACTCCTGTGCTCAGGCTCGCCGTCGAGTTGGTGGCGTCCTATAGGGCACTTGAGCTTTGCTCTGCATAACTCTCTATGTTGGTATTTATCTCATTGATATGCTTTTGTGAGAAGATTTCATTATCTCATTGATATGCTTTGTGAGAAGATTTCATTATCACCTTGCATGAGTTTGAGCATAAGGCTTTATATTTATAAAGCGGGGATGGGAAATATTTCAAAAACTAGGCATGATCCCCTCCCTATCCTAACCTTTACCATGCGTAAATGCTAGCAAAAAGAACACTAATGGCATATTTTAATTAAATCAAAAAATATGTGTAATTTTAGGCTCTCATTTGTGGAGGGAAAAAAAATGAAAAAAGGGTTAAGCTTTGTTTCTGAAACCAAAAAATATTACACAAACAAACTATGTTTTGTCATGCTGGCGGTAGCTGATCCACCTCCACACCTCCTCCCTCTGCCAGATTCAAAGCTCGCGCGTCTGGCGATGCCTGGGGAAGGTGTAGCTCCATCCCCCTTTCTTGGTTCTGACTATCGTTTTGTCTGCCTCATCTCCGAATCATGATCTGGCGGTTATGGGTTGCTCAGGCTCGGCCCAAGGCAAAATCCCTGCTCGGATTGTCGATGCTAGCAGTGACGACACTCGCGGGTGTCGTTCTACCTTCTTGCAGGCGCTGCCAGGGCCTTTATCTGCGCCCTCTTCAAGCTTAGAGGAAAGTCTAGGTACGGTTCGAAGAACCGGCTGGCGACGACTCCACGACGTCGTTTCCCTTCTGAAGACGTCATCTTGCTTGCTCGCGGTGTCCGTCGTGTTGGTTGTGTTTTATCATCTGTTCGTGCCAAGCATCCCTTGTCCCTCTATCTATGTCATATGTTGTACCTTTCTTTGAACTCATTTTAATTCTTTTTTCGTCGAGGCAACGGTGCCGTGAGTGCTCAAGTGGGCCTCCAAGCCCATTTTTCTTCGGTCGTCAAAGATCTGCTCGTCTTGGCACAGCCAAAACATGTTTACCAAAAAAGAAAAAAAGGAAAAATCATGTGCACGGAATTGCACTGTCCCTACAAGTGCGCATGGCTTACGTCAGTCAGCCACGTTACGTGTCTGCTCCTCCACCACAAAGGCATGTCGACAGGGCAACGACTCACATTAATCAAGATGATGATGTGTAGGCATGGAACTACCCTCAGCTGATGATCAGCTAGTGCTCAGTCACCGCCCGATCCATGGGTCTACCTGTACGATGAGGAAGATGTTCATGGTGGCGGGCGCTGCTTTGTTGCTAGCCGCCGCCGCCGTCTGCTCCTCGGCGGACGGCGAGAGCGAGGCTCGCCGTCGCGCAGTCCCCGCGGTGTACGTGTTCGGCGACTCCCTCGTGGACGTCGGCAACAACGACTTCCTGCCGCCGCCGGCGCCCAGGGCGGGTTTCCCCTGCGGCGTCGACCTGCCGCGCGCGATCCCCGGCGGACGGACCGGGAGGTTTACCAACGGCTACAACCTGGCCGACATCATCGGTAAGTCTGAAGATAATTTTAGTTGTGCAGACCTTGTGCATTCGCTGTGCCTATGCTTCACACTGCTGTTAGCCCACAGATCTGAAGCTAATTTAGTCTGATCCGGTTACCGATTTAGAGTTGCCAAGCTGCTTGAGATGATGCAAATTAAACGATGCCTTCAGATATTTTGAGTGCCAGCTCGCTCAAATCTTTGCCAAAACTTACAGGAAATTACAGACAGGACCTCATATAAAGTGGTGGGCAATAAAGTTTACAAACACGTGGTCATATAAGCGGAAAATTACATATACATCCTGGGTTCTTGCAAACAGGACTCTGAATGATCACAGATTAAAGATTGCAGTTGGGTCTAAATCTGCTCAAGAATGGAACCAATCTCGCCAGCTGGGGACGAAACCACTTTGTCTGATGAGACCTCCACAGACCACAGTAGAATATGCAATGGACTCCACCCTGAAGCAGC